GGGGGCGGGGGCCTTGGGGGCGGCGGTCAGCGGCCCTGCCTCCCCGCCCCGGGAGCGCCGTTCGGCACCGCGGGCCGCTTTCTCGGGCCGGAGCCTCCGTTCTTCTCTGCGCTTGGGAATTTAAACCGGGCCCTTGGCCGCGGGTTTCACACCCCGCCCCCGAGGAGGGCGTCCCCGGAAGTGCTCCTACGGAAGCCGGCGGGGCCGCGCGCGCTCGCCTCTTCACCATGGCGACGGCGGGCGTCCCGCGGCGCTTCTGCCGCTGCGCTTGCTTCTGCACCGAGAACCTGTACGTGGCGCGCTACCGGCTGCACCTGCGCTTCTGGGGCGAGCAGCAGCTGCGCCGGGACTACGGGCCGGTGAGCGGCCCCCGTCGGCCCCGCGGGGGAGCGGGCGAGACGGCGGGAGGAGGCGCCTCGGTCCTCCGGGCCGTTTGCTTTGCCCGCGAGCTCAGATCTTCGCCTCTCGGTGCCCCAGCTTCCTCGCCTTCAACGGGGGTGACAGTGTCTCCTTAGTGAGGCTGGGGGCGGGGTGAGCCAGCCTGCGGGCGCAGTGCGCCCTGTCGGCGCCGAGACAGCAGCTGGGAGCCCTGCCCTGGCCTCCGCAGGCGCCGCATTCCACCCTCGCGATGATCGGGGGGCTCGGTGAGGTCGGGGGGCGCTCGTCTCCATTTTAGGAGCGGAAACTGAAGCTCAGAGATGGTAGGTGGCTCGCCCGGCGTCGCGCAGTCGTGCTCACTGACCTTTCTGCTCCCAGATCCTGCGCAGCCGAGGCTGCGTCAGCCCCAAGGACTTCCAGCAGCTGCTAGAAGAGGTAACACTGGTCCCTGCCTCGGCCCCTCCTCCCTCACCGGGGGGTTAGCGGTGGGAAGCTTCCCAGGGGAGCCCTGTTGCAGCCTCTGGAACACAAGGCGCGGCTGGGACTCTGTTCCCTTCCCTGAGTGGCCCCAGCCGGCCGAGGTGCATCTCGGGGCTCTCCTCCCAGCCGGCTCAGGCTGACGCAGCCCAGGGTGGGATGCGCCCCCTTCTGGAAGGAGGCCCCTTCAGCTAACAGCCCCGCACCTGCAGTCAGCCCTGCCAGAGTCAGGAACATAGGGAGGCTTGGTTCCCAGCCTGGGCTCTGCTCTGGCCCTCCTGAGCCTCCGTTTCCTCATCCATACAATGGCCTCGAGGGGATGGGAGGCCCTTTTCTGGTAACCAGGCCCTGTGCCACCCCAGCTTGAGCAGGAGGTGGAGCGACGACAGCGGCTGGGGCAGGAGTCGGCTGCTAGGAAAGCCCTCATCGCCAGCTCCTACCACCCGGCGCGGCCAGAGATCTACAGCTTGCTGCAGGTACCCAGCAGGGGCAGGTTACTGAGGAGGAGGCATCCAGGCTGGGGGGCTGCCTGCCCCACAGTGGGTGTGTTTCTGCCCCCAGGATGTGGCTCTGGCCCCCGAGTTTCTGGCCGCAGCTGAGTACAGCGCAATGCCGGGTGCAGACCTCAAGGGCCTCCTCCACCGGCTGGAGACAGTGTCAGGTGAGGTCCTGGCCCCATGACCTGGCAGAATAGGGCGTGAGAGACTGGAGTCCTGCTATCCATTCTGTCTGCCTCCAAGCACCAAAGCGTCATAATAGCCCTGAGAGGAATGTAGAGTACCCATGGTATCCCCACTGTACAGACGAGGAGACTGAGGCTGGGGGAGGTGAAAAGGTGTGCCAGGCTACACAACTCAACGGGGAGATCGAAACCCACACCAGAGCTCCTGGCCGACACACTGTCCCTCCCTGCAGAGGAGAAGCGGATCTACCGGCTGCCTGTGTTCACAGCGCCGTTCTGCCAGGCCCTGCTGGAGGAGCTGGAGCACTTCGAGCAGTCAGATATGCCCAAGGGAAGACCCAACACCATGAACAACTACGGGGTGGGTGAGGCTCCACCTGGTGGGCTGAGGAGACAGGGACACCTGGGTCTGGGAGACTGACCTGCAGGGCTGCGGATGAGCTGTGTGGTCTTCTCTGTGCCTCGGTCTCTCCAGCTGTAAAAATGAAACCGAGGAAGGATTACGAAGTTAAACAAGTCAAAGGACACACTGGGGATCCAGAGCGAGGCCCCACCAGTTTCCCTGCTGACCCCAGGACCCTTCTCCCAGGTGCTGCTACATGAGCTAGGTCTGGATGAACCGCTGGTGACACCGCTGCGGGAGCGCTTCCTCCAGCCACTGTTGGCCCTGCTGTATCCAGACTGTGGCGGAGGCTGGCTCGNTGACACCGCTGCGGGAGCGCTTCCTCCAGCCACTGATGGCCCTGCTGTACCCAGACTGTGGCGGAGGCTGGCTCAACAGCCACCGAGCCTTCGTGGTCAAGTACGCGCCAGGCCAGGACCGAGAGTTGGGCTGCCACTACGATAATGCTGAGCTGACCATCAACGTGGCCCTGGGCAAGACCTTCACGGGGGGTGCCCTATACTTTGGAGGCCTCTTCCAGGTTAGTGCGTGTGACCCACGGGGCGGGGCCTGGGGTAGCCGGGAGTGCCCAGGCCTCAGCCCAGCTGTCTGCAGGCGCCTTCAGCCCTGGCCCAGCCCCTGGAGGTGGAGCACGTGGTGGGCCAGGGTATCCTGCATCGAGGCGGCCAGCTGCACGGAGCCCGGCCCCTGGGCTCTGGTGAGCGATGGAACCTCGTTGTCTGGCTCCGGGCCTCGGCTGTGCGCAACCGCCTCTGCCCCATGTGCTGCCGCAAGCCCGACCTGGTGGACGACGAGGGGTTCGGCGACGGCTTCACCCGAGAGGAGCCCACGACGGTGGATGTGTGCTCCCTGACTTGAGCCTGGTTGGGACCCGTGTCGGGGGTGGCCTGCCAGCGGAGAACTCTGCCACCTTGGTTGGGGGAGGGCAGAAATAAACTCCCTGCGGCCCTCAGCACTTCTTGGTTCAAAAGGACAAGCAGGCTTCTGGGTTATTCTCTCAGCAGACGGGCCAGCTTAGGTCAGAAGCAGAACCTGAGATGGGGATTCCTATTTCTCAAGGGAATACCCTCAGGAGAAAGGAGCCCAAGAAGCAGGACAAGGCAGGAAGGAGCTGGGCCAGGACGTGGGTTCAGGTGGCATCTAAGCCCAGGCCAGTCCCATGGGAGCTCTGGAGCATGAATCTACCAGTTTGCCCCCAGCATTGGTTATTGGCTACAGGGTGTGTCACGAGAGGGCAT